AAATTACCAGAATTAATAAATACTGTAAAGGATTAAAAAGTTAGTTAGTTTAGTATATTGTCATTGCACCGCATACAACGAAATTAAATGCCATCTTCAGGGTACATTATAATTATAAAAACAAGGACAAATAGGCTGAAAACAGCTTCTATCCCAGGGCAGTAACTATATGGAATTATACTGTATAGTGCAATATTAATGCAATAATAGTTTTCAATTCAATAGTATAGAATGTGATGGAGGTGTGTTTGTGTTTTTATTTTTATAATTATAATGTACCCTGAAGATGGCATTTAATTTCGTTGTATGCGGTGCAATGACAATATACTAAACTAACTAACTTTTTAATCCTTTACAGTATTTATTAATTCTGGTAATTTCTAACCGATGAAGATGATGATAACAAAAGCTCACTTGCCCATCCAATCAATCAAATGGACTGGAGAGAGCAATTATACTACAGTTTGAGAACTGCTGACTCCTGGAAAAAAACTTGACAGCAACTTTCCTCCTTGCCCCCTTCCCCATTTTAAGAGGGGAAACTCCTCCTTTTTTCTTTAAAGGGGTCCCGGGTTGCAATGTCAGATCTATTGGATCAGTTCAGATCCGGTCAAAGGATTTTGGTCCGTGAAGCAGATAAAAACCAAACCAGCTCCCCCCTGCTACTGAAATCAAATTAATACAAAACACACAGGTGTATGGAGTACAACTCCCAGAATTCCCCAGCCACCACGCTGAGCTGCCTGGGGAATTCTGGATGTTGAAGTCCATACATCTTGAAGTTGAGGCTGAGCAACACAAATCTGAAAACAATTCTCCTGAAGCAGCTTTATTACAGTTGAACATTTCAGTGAGGCCTGCAAGAGAAGATCACCTCACCCAAGTCCCAACGTTTCCTAATAAAAGTACCGTATTTTTCAGACTATAAGACACACCTAAATTTACAGGAGGAAAACAAGAAAAAATAGTTTTTGGCCTCCGTGCATCGGATTTTCGCCCTCCCAGGCCCCCAGCAGCACTCTGCAGGCCAAAAACAGGCATGTTTTTGTGAAAAGGGGCTGTGCAGAGCACTGAAGAGTGCTTCTGGGGACTGGGGAGGGTGAAAACATGATGCGCAGAGGGCTTTGAGGCACAAATACGCCTGAATTCAGTCTATAAATCACATCTAAATTTTCATCCACTTTTAGGGGAGGAGGTGTATCATACTCCGAAAATATGGTAATTTCCCATCTTGTCTCTTTGCACACTTGGGCCTCAGGAGCTCATAAACGTAGTAGTAGGACCCATTGGGAATTAATGGATTTTTTCAAGTGCAGCATGAGGGAATGGGAATTCTAACTATGGTTTATTGAAGAAGCCGTAATAGCCTGGATTGTGCATTAAACCAAGCATCAAACAAAGGACCCTGTGGTTCAATTCAAAGAAGGGACTCAGTCATGAAAGCCGCTTGGGCCCTTGGGCCCATCAAGGGTCTGGTACCGCTCGGATAGCCATGCTTGACATTGTCTCATTACTGACCTCTATTCGAAATGTCCGACTGGTCGCTGGCGATAAGCACTCTAGTAATTCATCCTCCTGATGGACACCAATGATTTTGTAGCTTACGATTTCTAGCAGCCTTAATGAGAGAAAGCCAGTGTAAGAATACTCGAAAACTCACACCTGAACTCCCGAGGAAGTTCTGCTCAGGAGGCAAGGTGACTTTTAAGAAGATGCATTCAAATCTGGCTTGCCATACATTTTTACAATTGATAAACGGAGCCCAGTAATGATAAGGAATAAAAACATTTCAAATTGGTAATCAAGTTGAAGTTTGGCTTTCCTAATTTGTTTAAGTATGCTTTCTACTTTCTGTGGATCTCAAGGGGGGGGGGGGGATTTAATTAAATAAGGAAAACACTTGCCTTAATTTCCCTGAACCTCTTTCAGCAAGTTCTACAGCTTTTTTACATTCATCTAGTAAGTCTCGCACACATCCATGTTTATCTGGATATAGTGTTATTTCCTAAAAAAAGTTAAGTGGGGGGATGAGAGAGAGAGAGAGAGAGAGAGAGAGAGAGAGAGAGAGAGAG